CTACTTTACTATTTTACTAAGAAAACCTTCTTTACAGTTGTGAGATCGAGAGTTGTATTGTATTTTAGTCGAACTTTTATTACGAGAATTGGTGTTCAGGTTGTACTGACCGTACTACACGTTGACTACCAGTACCACAAGCTGACTGTCCGATGATGACTGATTTCACTTACGTTCAAAATTATGTATATCGTATGTTGTTATTTAAGTTACATTCTCTTTAAGGACTGGGCTGATGAAACTATAAGATATAAAAGCCTAGTAGGTTAAGTTGAGACATCGCAGTCGGAAAACACTTGACATTGATTACAATAATTACGGCTTATATAAAATATATTTACGTAACTCTTATATTAAGATGTACAATATTATACTTATCTGGGTTCAAAGCGTGACGATGTAGAATAGAATGGAATAGAATAAAGTTTAGCAGTCAGTATCACTAACCACTTGATCAACAGGCCGTCAAGGGACTTAATTCTGCTATTTCATATTAACGCCAAGCCACTGTCTTTCCATTTACACGCTATTCAGATGCCACTGAGACGCCATTGACATCGGTCAAAATATCAGTATTCTACTAACATGATTTCAGTGTCGATACAGTACGATATAGGTTATCATAATATCAACAACATTCCCATACCTGGAAAATTAATTATATAATTTTCTTACAAATTTAAAATGTACTGTTTACCAAACTGTTACAAAGACATCGACGACATTTGTATCAGTGACAAGTCATCGTGATGCCATTGGTCTTACATAGTTAGTAGAATAGGAAAAGTGTAAAACTATTCCTACGACATTCCATCGACAGTCTATTGATATAGTATTTAAATAGCAGCATTAAGGCCCCGATCTTCTTACGTATCGTAAAAAAGTCGAGATGATTTTTGTACGCTTCAAAACTCCATAAGTTCTGCACTGATTAAGCTCAAATTTTGACACGATATATAAACCGCTTCAAAAATGTTTTATTTTTTATTTTTACGTCAGTTTTGTTCCCCATTTCTCATTAATGCAACCACCACTTTTTAAAGAAATCTATACAAATTAATAAAATTGAAGTGTCTGTTATGTTAAAATAATAGGGTTTTTTAAGGTTACGCGACTTTGAACGAGACTAAACAAAAAACCTGTTTTGTCTGTCTCTCTGTCCTAATCTTCTGAACGGCTGGACCGATTTTGATAATATTCTACTACCAGGTAGCTGTCTATATAGGGAGTAACTTAGGCCATTTTTCCTCTCAGAAAATCCCTTTAAAAATTTTCCCGGTCCGCGAATCGAACCTGAGGCCTCAAGGACTGCAGTCGCGTGTGGTACTACACTTAAGGCAGCGCTTTTCAAATAACGAATATTATGGGCTATGTAACATCATGCTGAGACTTTTAGGAGCGGGACAGTGACTATAAGCGAAGGTTAACCGCGGGTCTATTTCCAGTCAACCGAGAATAAATAAATATACTATAATACTATAATGTATACTCACACCATTATAATATTTAGGCTACAGCAATGCGTTACAAATAAGCATGTAAAATAAAAATTATAGGTATTTAATATTTTACTCGTATATATTTAGAAACCTTTTTATGTTTATCAAGAATTCGATACGTTTTACGTAAAAAATATACAAGAAATAAAATGTTGTTAGCAGTAAAAGCTGTATTACTATTGGAACAACACAGCTACGTGAAATAAATGTTTTTTACGATATCTCGTTAAATAAAATATTTTTAATATTTATTTCTGTAGCACACAAACTAGAAAAGACTTGCTATTTAAACTAATAAATCTGTGGAATCAGTATAAATTAAAAAGCTCATGACTCGATGATCCCATTAACTATTAGATAAAAGATGATTTACAATAATTATAGCCAAGAATACTCGCCATTAAAAATATACTTATTCAAACAAAAAAAACTGACTTAATAGGTCCAACGGTTTACGAGCCCTGATTTACGTAATTAATCTTAAAACATCCCTTCTTTTTGTCATCCAGAGTTAAAGACGTAGAACAAAAGTATTTAAAAAAATCTGAATCCTTTTCATTTTGGACGATCACCAATGATCAATGTAAAAAGAAAAAGAATTTAAAATACGAAGCGATTATAAATGCGCTTCCCACTTTAACTGGTTTCGACAGAAGCCATCTTTGTTTGAAGTTTTTGATTTTATTTATACTGTTTGTAACACCTGAATAGAAATCTATCAATTTTTTTTACCATATTTATAACTCAATATTTTGTTTCTTGGAAATCTGAGCGATTTTTTTGATAATTATTGACGTTTATACAAACTAGAGACAAATCAATACTTTTTCTCAATTTTTTTTTTCACTCTACAACCTATTGGCTTTGCTTCGCCTTTTATCTAACAGACGGGTGATTAAAGAAATACTGGCTAAATCTTAAACCGTTAAACATAATTTTATACAAATCTCTTGCCATTATAATCGAGTTCATTAATTTCATTTTGCAATATATAAATCGTATAGGAAAGAGAGAACTGGTTAATCTGTGATCAGCAGAATACGACATTTAAATTTGGTATCTGGCTGTATGCAACAGTGTCCTTGACTTACAAAAGGTTCGACGCCATCTTAACGCGGGAGCTGTCAACGTGACATTTAGAGGTTACATTTTTTTTTACTTTTTGCATGCGATAAGGGCGTATTCAGTTCGCTTTCTGTTTATTTTTTAATTATCAGATCAAGTGAATAAACCCTAACAGTTTTGTGCATGTTTTTTCTTTTGTTTTTTTTTTAGTTTGATTTGACTTTTTATTGTTTGTTTCATGACTAACTTTTAGTGATGTTTAATATCTCTATGTTTCATCTACAGATATTGACTTATGACAATGGTATTTTGATTTTAGTACTATCTGTGTAAAAAGATCAGGTTATTTCAGGTCATGTGACCTGAAAATAATAATGATAATAATAATAAGATTATTAAAGACGCGCAATTATTGGTGATTTCCAATAACATAACACATGATTTTTTTTTCTACATGAGTCATAGAAAGTACAATTATCTACGGTATCAGCGTATTTTGATTTGAAAGTTGTAAAGTCGATAATCACACCGGCTGTTGGGACATATGTAACATGTAAAGCGGTGTGGCGACGCGTTGCCATGCGTAAGAGATCCTGCGGCTCTCTCACGCTGATTATCAAAGTGATTTTATACTCACACATCATAATCAACAGCCTTCAACAGTCTGCCGGACATAGGCTACTCTTTAGAAAGGAGGTTTTGGCCTACTATACGACGCTGGATAGACGGGTTGGTAAAAAGTTTGTTTCTAGTTTTCCTTCTCTTTTCAGTGCTGTTGTCCTGCATAGTTTGCTCCGTTAGTCGGTTCTTACGACACCCACGGGATGAATAGGGATGGTGACACTCCGTATTTTTAATCTGTCGTTTGATAAAATCAACATTGTCCCGAGCGTAGCCGAGCGTAATAATATAATATGAGATAAACGAATGAGGACATTGACTTTATCTTAAATTTTTTGTGATAAAAAGTTACCACGCTGCATTTCTTTATAGATACAAAAAAGCTATAATCCTCTTAGCAGCGGCTATTTGATAAAAAAAGTTCTCTAAAAACGTTTAAACGTCTGAGTATCTGATTTTTTTATAATATCCGAACTAATTTAGGAAAGGTATTTTGGTCCCAATTAACCGAATGAAACCTATACTTAAAAAAAACAATAAAAGAAACTTGAACGGTCGACAAGCCGGTAATGGCAAACATACAATAGGCGAGTAACAGTAAAAGAGAATCAAGCTTCATCAGAAATGGGCCGGCTCGACCGGAGCAATACCACGGCCTCACAGAAAACCGGTGTTCGGAACTCTTTCGTTCCTTTACAGAGTAAGTGAGATTACTGGATGTCAAACTCTCCCTCCCCTGATTCTAGGGGCGGTCCAAATGGGCTTCGACGTCGCACCTCACGTGGTGAAGTGCGACTAGTAAAGTCACATTGTTTAGAGCCTCCCGACTCTCGGGGCTCCACAGTGAAGAAACAGAAGAAAGGAGACGCGTTAGTATAGGGTTTATTTCAAGTTTTCTTTCTCTTTGCAGTGCTGTTGCTCTGCGTAGTTTGCTCCCTTAGCCGGCTCTTACGACACCCACGGAATGATTATAGGTGGTGGAGTATACACTTTGGTTTAAGGGATTAACCCTTAAACCAAAGTGTATATTAGTCTGGAATTTGACTATAAGCATAGGTGGCTAGGTGGGCTTATGTGACATCGAAGTTTTTGTGTACAGTGAACGATAATCTTCACGTTATTATACACCGTAAACGTGTAAGCACATCATGGTAGCGTTATAGCGTGACTGAAACAAATCGATTAAAATATAAAAGAGTGTTGTGATTAATTTAATTTATTTTTAGTGCATTCTTTTGTTGAAATAGTATTTTTTGTTAAATGATGTATTTGACATCATTATCATCATCAGCCTATCGCCGTCCACTGCTGAATGAAGGGCTCCCCCAAGAAACTAGCCCCCTCTCAATTCACATCCATCCGCTGCCAGCCACACTCCTCAAGTCGTCGGTCCATCGTCGTCTTAGACTCGGGACTATCATTGACCGATGATACAAATATTATATTTGACGCGTGTGGGAATCAAACGCGCTGCAGATAATGGCAAGATACCTATTAATAGTTATGTTATAACTTAGGATATTATTATTGTTGTTATAAGTGATTGCGATACTAATCTATTCATGTAAAATTACCTGCACTGAGTGACTGATTTATCAATGCAGACCCTAGACCGTTGGGGCTACAAACTTGGAATTTGGCAGCTGATGCATTTTATGTTGTGAGTACCCACAAAAAAGAATTTTTGAAAATTTAACCAAAAAATAACAGTACCTACCACAGTCATAACATTGAAATGTCTAACATTTCAAACATGTTCACTATTATTAGTTACTGAAAATAGTTTTTGAGAATAAAAAATAAAAAAGGACTTACTTGCGGTTTCAACCACAGCATCAAAATGTATCAGCGTCTTTGCAGAGAAGCAGAGTCTGTAATCGCAAGTGTCGCATCTCACGCTCAGATGCCACATGCCAACGAAAGCTGAATCATATGCTGGTAACACTGATAATCTGTAGAAGAAACCATTGGTTTTATTTTATTCTGGGTCATATTAAACAGGCTCAAATAAAGGATTAACCGTCCCATGGGCGTAAGGTGAAAATTTATTTCGAATTATCACATGGAATAATTTATTCACTGTTCATTACTTTTCTGTTACTTAAACAAAAGTTCTTGTAGTAATGAAATGGCCAAGCAACATATTTTGAGTAAGGTGTAGAGTTTGTGAAGTTAGGGTTTGTAGAGTGAGAGCGTGTAGAGTTAGAAATTTGGCTCTATATGAGATCTGATAACTTTTTGACAGTGCGAGCCATAGTCTCGTATTGGCAACATTTTACATGAAAATGTTTGTGGTGGGATTACTGTATTCTTCTGCTAGCAATACCAAAAAATATGTTATAATACTTACGTATCGAAGTCGAAGGTGTTGCCAGGAAATACGAGGTGTACGTCCCTGGGTGATAAACCTTCAGTCCTCGATGATGGGGAGAAGGCAGATACCGACGATACGTTGTATAGGTCAATTTGTAGAGCTGGATAAAAAAGAAGAGTACTTAACTTTCCTCATCATCTTAAAGCAGAACAGAGTGGAATTACGACTAAATTGAACTTTTTTAAACGACTTCAAAAAGAAGCAAGTTTTTAATTTCGTTTTTTTTTTAAGTTTGTTACTTCAGAAGAAAATATATTCTCTATGAGAGAAAATAAAGGAATGAATAATACAGTTTGTTACAATTTGTGATGATGTAGGAATACACTAGTTATATATTTTTCAAATACATCATCGTCATCATCAACAGCCTTTAATAGTCCACTGCTGGACATAGAAAGGAGGTTTTGGCTTACTATACCACGCTGGCCAGACGGTTTGGTATAGGGTTTGTGTCAAGTTTTCCTTCTTTTTGCAGTGCTGGTGTCCTGCGTTGTTTTGCGCCCTTAGTCGGCTCTTGCGACACCCATGGTATGAATTGGGGTAGTGACATTGCGTATTCTTAATCCGTCACTACACGGTAGTCAGTCAAATACAGTCAAATATAAAAATTATTAGTCAAATTAACACAGATGTGTTAAATAATTAACATACATTAATTAACCAATAAATTTTAATACGCAAATGCAAAAAAATCAAACACGTGAATGATACACCACGCTGTTCATGACACATTTTCTGAAGGCTTCGATGGCCGGTGACGGTACTAAAGAATTTCATTTCAAAAAAACCTTACCATGTTACGAGTGGGAAGCTCGTTTGCCATTTTAGTGATATAAAATATATATACAATAGCAATTATATACATCCTGTTCAACTGTTATTGTGCCAGCCGGAAGTGAGCTATTCCATAATAACTATAATCATAATTTTATTGAAGTAATAGTAATTTTGTACAGCAATTTGTATTGTTCAGCTAATACCCTTTAGTGGGTACAAGGTTGAAGATATTTATTGTGATGGGAATGTTGCGTATGTCATGAGTTTTTGTCGGTAGGTCTATTAATTTATAATATTCTTTAAAAAAGAGATAATTGTTTTTTGTATGCATGTAAGCGATGTTAATTTGGCGACAGTGGCACTCCGGGAATGCCGACAGAACTGAAACTTGTTTTTTTTTATAACAGGTGTTTTTTTGTTTTTTTTTTCGATTTGAAAAGTTCCGACATGAATAAATATCTATCTTGTACGTACGAGTATATACATAATATATGTTATATTATCAATGTATTTCAACCCAAACTCAACTCTCGTGTAAACGGGGATACTTATATACGTAGATACTTATATACAGAGGTGTCGGTAACGGTAACAGTGTTGCGAGTTCAATGGTTTTTTCCCCATCTTAAAAAATACATTCTTTTGTTTGCTGTTCAAAAAGTCCAAACGCGTCCAAAGAAGTTTTCACTTTTAAAAAAAACACGTGGGTCCACATTTTGGCAAACAAGGGCCGCTCCATTTCTACACACAGCTCTTTCTAGGTCCAAACTTCGCTTAGATTGTTACTACTACTACTACTATACTACTACTACTACTACTACTACTACTACTACTAAGTCAAAAACACAGGTAGTTATGAACAAAAGAAATAATAGCGTATTGTTTATTCCTTAATTTTCCACCCTTAGTTATGGTATTTTTTTCTTCAAATTTGAATGGCACCAAACGGAAAGTATGAATGAGGAGAGTTAGGTTATCGGAGGCCTTATCACTCCTCGCTTCGTAACTCCGGAGCATTCAAAGTGCTGCACCGCACGTGTTTCTCTTGAGTTGCAGGTATTCATTTACAACGGTAGTCACTTTTAATCAGGTAACTCGTCTGTTCGTTTGCTCTCTATCATCATGATTTAATCTTTGAAGTTATCATAAAATTTTATTTTTAACCTACTTTAAAAAGGTCGAGGTTATCAATTCGGATGTTTATATTTTTTTTAAACGTTATTTCGGGCATTACTCCATCATATATATAGACAGGTTTTCAGACTTACTTTTTGTTCGAAAGAGCTTTTTTGCAGTCCCATTTAAATTTCATTTAGATGTGGTAATGAGTTCCGGAGACAGACAACGGAACTCTTAATTAAATGACAGCAAATCAATTTGACAGCAAATTTAGTGCTCTTTGTTAGTATTGTTTGAAGTCGGTTAAACTTTTTAAAAAGGATTTATAGCTTGTTTGTTTTATTTATTTTTATCGAATTGGTTTAACCTTCAAAACATATCATTTGGTTTGTGACATCATAGACAGTAATACAAAATTTCAGCTGTACTATCCAGCAGAATCTTTTCTTTCCTCTATGAATACTAGACTTGAAGAAAATCTGGTAATACGTGGTTATCCCAAGATTTTCTAGAGGAACTTAAAGTCTTTTGTTCTTCCTAATGTATAATAACTCTTTACTCGATACTCACCATCATTGGGCGGGTAAAGCACAGCATGTTCCACGGCGCCCTCAATGAATATCCTGAGGGCAGTCACTCCGTTTTCAACTGGAACTCCCAGAGATATCACTTGGCCAGCGCCACGGCGGACAACGAGCAACTGTAAAAGAGCTTTTAGTCAATATCTGAATCTCTTGTTTCTAAAAAGTTGATTCTGGGCACTTGAAATACTAAAAAACCCACTTCTCACTTATTTCCATTTTTTCCTATGCTATTTTATTAGCGTATTCTCAATTTGGACAAAAGTTTTATCTGGTTTTTTCTAATCCTCTCTTGGAATTTAATCGTTTCCAGACAGCCTAGATTGCGCATCCGTATGTTTATCCTGTGATTGGGGAGACAACTATATCAGGGGCATCTGGCCAAATATCAAACTTACTAATTGTAGCAAATAAGTGACACAAATTATTTCTTAGTAATAGTAAGTTAATAGCTTTGGATCATCACAATTACAAACAAAAGAATTGTTGTTTAGATATTTAGGTTGGTATGGACTTTTGGCGTTATATTAGCACTTAATCCTATTTATTCAATATCTGGACAATGTACGAAGTATAATCAATATTATTGCCTATTACATACTTTAGGTAGGTAATAATGTTTTCGACTCCTTTTTAAAAAAAAATTGTGGACGGGGTGGAAAATCATTTCAGATCTTCTGCTTCTCGGAGACTTAGGAGCCAGTAGTATGTGGTAATTCCACTAAAAACCACCCCGTCGGCCCGCCTCAGGTGTCCTACGCTGGGAGGACCCAGACCATGTTATTTCAGGTCCTCTCCGAATTAACATCATGCCTTATCAGGCCCTATCCCAGGGGAAAACACTTCCAATCCCTCAATCGCGCGTGCATTCCCTCAACTGCATCTTAATGCAATCAGGCTGCCTAGGGTGCTAAATCCTAGGGTTTGTACAAAGTACCTGGTGTCTACATAGCCACCAGGGTACTAGACTTTATATTCTCTTAAAATAATATAGTAATATAGAATACATATTATGTAATGTAATATCTTTTAAGATATTTGTTATTTAATTCAATCTCCCCTTTACTAGAAATTCTGGTAATAAAACTGACGTTCAAAAAGTTTTTGGGGATAGATCCTCATGATAACTTAATTCCAACATTATTCTCAAGCTTCTAATGTCGGAATTTGTACGAGTTTATGTTATAAGTTACCGCTCAGTGGATTAAAAGTACTTACATCAAATTTGTCCGGTGTTGTATCCTGGAACAGCTTTGGACGCCTTCCTTGCTTGTATAAATATGACCATTGCTCCAATTCAGCTAAGTTACTGGAGGCATCTATGTCCTGTAAAAATCCCATAGATATGTAATGCCAATGGGTGGATTCATTAAACGAAAAAGGATTCAAGATTCTTGACGACATTAATGTTTGCTTGAATGTTCACTCCTTGAATGTTCCTACACGAAATCAGAAAGAATACACTTGCCGCTCGCACCTCGTCCGTTGCCTGTTTTCGTCCTACCCCCGCACCCCTGTGGGGTACAGGGGTAGGTCTCAATTAATCAGTTTATACCTATACTCCCTTTAACTTAACCAATTTAAATGGGCAAAAGCTCAAAAGCTTGAATCGGTTCAGCGGTTATTGTGTCTCATTGCAAACTGCAACCTCCCTTTTCACTCCCTTAGAGGATGATTTCTGGTATAAAAACTATCCATGTCCTTTCCCGGGACTTTATCTCTATACTAAATTTCATCTAAATCGCTTCAGCGCTTTAAGCGTGAAGAGGTAACAGACATACAGACACACTTTCGCGTTTATTATATTAGTATGGATTAATACTAAGGAAGCAAACAAGTACAGTCCTTGTGGAACGCGTTTACCGGCAACTATAAAGACTTTCTCTACATTAATTAATATAAAATAAATCTATTTTTACTGTTATTATTGTGGAATGTTTTTTAATGGATTTTAACTATTTATAAGTGTTTTTTACGTCTGGTAGACAATAAATTTTTATTACTAGTTATTTTTAAATTTCGAATAATTTCTTTGATGGATATAGCTTTTAAACGCGCTATGTTAGAGTGAGAAGGATATACGTAGATATATTGATCTTTCATTTCACCAACGAGTATGAATAGCGTTATTTTTAGTAGTATGGTAGGTATTAATTTTTATTTGTTCAAATGCTAATTAATTGGTATATAGCTGGTGATGATTACTATCAGTTTTATTATACAAGTGATTAATTTGCAATCTATGGTTGACCATAGACGACTGTTTCTTTTTCTTTCGTTTACTGTTAGTTTTTGGTTAATACATGTTTTAACATCTAATATACGTATATGCCTGTATCTATTATAGTAGAGGTGTATTAAACCTTTAACCTCCTTTCTAAGGAGAGGCCTATGTCCAGCAGTGTACTATTAAAGGTTGATGATGATGATGATGAAACCTTTATATTTTACTAGGCTCCACCCGCGATAAAAAAGTCGATAAAAAGTAGCCTATGTCCATTCCCGGGATTCGAACTATCTTTATACCAAATTACATCTCAATCAGTTCAGTGGTTTAAGCGTGAAGAGGTAATAGACAGATACACTTTTGTATTTATAATATTATATTATGGATACTCCTAGTATATTAAAAGAGAAAGGGGGGCACCAAGTAACATAAGGATATTGCTGAATTTGTTTCTAATGTCAAGTGGCGCGTAATTGTGACATATCCTGTTAATTTTTATTCGACATTACTACTTAGAGTACGGAGTGTCACCGCCCCTATTCATACCGTGCCTAAGAGTGTGCCGTCGTAAGAGCGGACTAGGAAAGCAAACTACTCAGGACAACAGCAGTGCAAAGAGACGGCAAACTTGAAACAAACCCGTCTGGACAACCTGGTATTGTAGGCCAAAACCTCCTTACGAAGGAGAGCCTTATGCCCAGCAGTGGACTACTAAACGTTATTGATAATTGACGATGAATGATGAGTCAGTTCGACTGTTGAAATACTTACAATGACTTGAAGTGGATATGGTATCACGTCTCCTTCTGTGTGCTGTGATATATTCTTCAGAGCCAGCAGACCTTCGTCGGTCTCTGCATCTGGGTAATTTGGATTCGTCCATAATGTGTAGACCTGGAGACAAAAACGATGCCATTTTACTCATAAACATATACTTTGGGACATATAACACAGCTTTTTTGAGGTCCAAATTTGGCTTACTGCTACTGTGGTCAAAAACACGGACAAACATATAAATTTAAAAGGTAACAGCGTATTTTTTATTCCTTAACGTTTTACCCTTTATTGTGGTATTTTTTCTTCAAATTTGCATGTGAACCGGCAAGTATAATCGCGCAAAAAAAAGAGAGTTTTCTAAATCTGTTCATATATAAAGGATTTCTGAAGTAAAAGACATAAATAAATATAGCCGGATTTAATACAACCCCCACTTTTTCTTCATCTCACTAAGAAGATACTCGTACTGTCTTCAAGTCTGTTACTATCTCTCACACTTTTTATATAAAGACTTATGGCTAAAGTTATTTGTCCACTATGGTATATGCTACCATTTTGCATAATAAATAAATAGCAACTCTCACTTTATATTAATAAAGTTCAGTGTTGATCCTTACGATCACATGTAATTTCTAGATGTATACATATATTGGATTGCCATCGACAGACAGACACTCAGGGTTCATTTCTTTTTCTATTAGATAAAGAACTAAAATTCAAAAAGATCAAAATCTCACCTTCAACCTTTTTTCCACCACTGCCCTGAGTGCTAGCTGCAGTCGATTCATATCTCCAGGTCCTTCATCCGTGATCACGAACAGTGCACTGTCGTAGGGCACCAATTTGGCAGCACCCGTTAAAGCTCGCATGGTGCCGTCGGCCCTTGAATCGCTTGAGTCGACGTTCATAATAGCCTGGTGGATGTGGATGGAAATTAGTTTATAGGTACATACATATACATGGATACACTCAGTTCTATATCCCGGAATGGGCGGGAGAGGCTTATTAAATAGCAAAAATTTGTCAACTATAGGTGAAGTCCGTGCGGTGACGGATTAACGACACTTTAAGATATATGGGAAAGGGATGATTAGGAGTACAATGGAAAGGAAAGCAGGCAGGCAAGAAGGGAAGGAAAAGGATATTGCCTGGACAGATGGATTAGGGAGTGTAAGTAATAGCTTAGGCAGGTCAGGGTTGTATACCTGTAACTCGAACTTTTGCATGAAGGTCCGAGCCCTACCCCTTATTATTTGGGTATACAGCATAAGCAATAGTCTTATGGAAATTCACTAGCTCACTTAATATTTTGTGTCTGTGAGGCTTCCTTGTTTAAAGGGTGTATGCCTTTTTTTACTGCATTTTGTCTTCCGCTTTGCTACGGAGAGCAGTGGATTTCCTGCCTCTCCAATTTCTTGTGATTAATTGCGGGACTACCAGAGTATCATAACTCGGTGTCTTCGCAGGGCACTGCTGTTGTTCCTGGTGTACAAGACTAACGGTGGAGGGCGTATGCGAGATATTAGTCCCGTCTATGAAAATTCAGCGTTCATTCGATCGAAGTCTCACTAGACTTCATCACTATTGATCATTTTAAGTGACTACTTAGATTATGAACTAAAATGTAGTTTTTATCTTATTTATTTAACTTTCTGACAGACTAAATAAAACTAGCATCAAAATTGATTTCCCTATTTACCTTAATGCTTAACAGATAGCAGTTTGCACTGCAGATTAAAATAAAACAATATTTGGGTCGGGTATACGATATCATGAAATGAAATTAAATTGTTTTGTTTAAAAAAGTTTAGTTACCTGGTATTTAAGTAGAAGTTTTGAAAGCGCCTCTGTTACAGTCTTATCATGGTTGCCGTACGACGTCGGATGTAGGCTGTGTTTTGATCGCCAGCTTATACCTGCAACCAAAATTTTATTATTATCATTAACACTTAAATTATACATACACATTCACTAAAACGTTGCGTAAAATGTAATATGCATTACACATAATACTATCAGGTAAAATATGGTTACTTTAAATTCTGGCACCAGGCTGTTCCCCTGTGGTATCCCTCTTAAATCCTTAAGGAACAATACCGTAAGTTGTCATCGAAGTGATCGAAGGCCACACTAAAATTTTAATGTTGATATTTTTTTTATTAGTACACATAAAACGAATGTGTATCACATTGATTAATTGCAGCGATACGTAAAGTATTGATTTATTTAAAGTTTGGAAAGGCGTAACCTTGCTTGGTTATGTAAATCTACACCGTTACGCCCCACTTGGTGGTCAAGCAAAAACTAGACGAATGGTTCGGAAAAAAATACTTAAAAAAACTGACTAGCTGTTTTTGCTAGCTTGTTACGACTATATGGAAATAAACTGACACTTTCTTTGAATCTTTGACCGTGGTGCTGGAGTTAATAGGTAAATCTGATCTTTTAGGTTCCGGAGGGCAACCCCTCCGGGTTTGGTTGTCGGTTCGATTGATGATATATTTTTAACTAACGCGTAGTTTTATAGAAACAGTTGCATGTTAAATTGATCGGTTGATTTATTGTTATCGATTTTTGTTTTAATTAATTATAAAAACATTTTTTATAAGAATGATGTAGATAATGATATAATCAGCAATGTATAGCATAAAAAAATGTTTGCTGGTTCTTTGTAACTGAGTTGATTTTTGGGGATTCGATTCCCACGAAAGACCGGTATTTGTGTGGTTTTCAAATAGAATTGTGCGTATACGTTAAGGCATCGTCAATTTATCAAGGATCCCATTATCAGGTCGTGATCTAATGACTTTGATCAGATAGCCAGTATACCCTTAAAAAAAAAATTTGGCTGAGCCATCTTTGGGTAATCGGGTTTCAAACATTAAAAAAAAAACACTAAGAAAATAATAATAAATCCTAGAACCCTGTTCATGTGCCTCTTGTCTCATTGAGAATCTTAACCATCTACGGACCCACTCAAGTACAAAAAAATATCAAAATAAGTTCATCGCTTTGGTGAGGAGTTCAGTGACATTCACACATAAATACGAATTATATATGTAAAGATTAATTCACTACGCGTAGGTTTTTTTTCTGTTTTGAACACAAATTGTTCGTTTCGTTTACATAACACATGATACAATACCTTCTAAAAATAGCTTTTTTTTATTTACAATATTATTCAATCTCGACGTGTTCACGACAGTTGAAAAACGTACGTATATTTTTTAGCCGACTGCGCCAAAAGGAATAATAATGATTTATTTCTCAATGTCCGTGTGGTGACGGATTAAGAATACAAATTGTCACCACCCCAATTCATCCCGTGGGTGTCGTAAGAGCCGACTAAGGGAGCAAACTAAGCAGGACAACAGCACTGCAAAGAGAAGGAAAACTTGAAACAAACCCTATACCAACCCGTCTGGCCAGCGTGGTATAGTAGGCCAAAACCTCCTTTCTAAGGAGAGGCCTATGTCCAGCAGTGGACTAGTATAGGCTGTTGATGATGATTGATGATTTCTCAATGTGGCACAAAAATACATGAACAGTGTCATAAACCGTATTTACGATAAACTTTGGTTCCTAGAATAAGATTTAACTTGTATTTAGGTTACTACACTAAAAATAAAACATACGTCTTATGTCATACGATAGTACTTGTAAGACGAATACAGCGTTAATCAAGAAACAAACTACATAAGGAATAGACAAACAACAAAAATATATAAATTGAATATATATATAAAAAAATAACATCAATAACAACTATTCAGTTGCTACATTTTATGTGACGGGTCTGTTGGTCTACTGATTAGTGTCCCTGACGGTTAAGCCGGAGGTCGTGGGTTCGATTCCCACCGAGGACAAATATTGTGTGATGAGCACCGTCATTTGTTCTGTGTCTAATTTATCTATAATATGTAAGGAGAGGCCTATGTCCAGCAGTGTACTATGAAAAGCTGTTGATGACCAGGTAGAGGTTTAGGGAATACTACTGGCGACGCGTCAGCGTTAACCTCCACTGTCTGCTGTGTTACTCCCTCTACCTAAACATATTTGATACGAGCCTAGCAATGCCGCTTTGGATATTCTTTCAAGAAAAGAGCTTACTGAATCGGCAATATTATTATAGTCCCTTGCGTGTAATTGGGTATAGTATATGGCCAGCGTGATATAGTAGGCCAAATCCTCCTTTCTAAGAAGAGGCATATATATGTCTAGCAGTGAACTACTAAAACTCTTTACCGTGGGAGAGCCATGCTTCGGCACGAATGGGCCAGCTCGACCGGTGTGATACCACGGCCTCACAGAAAACCGGTGTTAAATTTTTTCGTTGCCTTTCACCGAGTGAGTGAGGTTACCGGAGCCCAAATCCTCCCTCCCACTGACTCCAGCGGGAGGGACTCCAAAGGCAGCAACGCACTTGTGCCTTTTGAGTTGCAGGTGTCCATGGGCGGCAGTAGTTGCTTACCATCAGGTGACCCGTCTGCTCGTTTTCCCCCTTACACCATAAAAAAAAGCTGTACTCAATACACGCTGGCGGAGCCGTCGGCAAAAGCTAGTACTTATATATTTCTAAATACATACATATTATAGATAAATTACACACAGACACAGAACAAATGACCTTACTCATCAAACAATCCTTTGTTCTGGGTGGGAATCGAACCCACGACCTCCGGCTTAGCAGTCAGGGTCACTAACCACTATCCCAACAGGCCTATAAATGTAAAATATCTTATAGGAAATAATATATTATAAACTAAAAGGTTCTTAATACTTATTGTTTGATGAATGTTTTGAATTATTAAAATATATTTTATCGATCTGTTAGCAGACACTTTAGTCACACCATATTGTTATTTAAATCTACTTGTAGGGGCATAATAAAGCACAGTAGTGAGGTATGTTTGAATGTATTGTTCTACAAAAACATTTGCAGTTTTGTCAAACTAAAAAATATGATGTAATGGCTAATAAATTCCAAGAATATAACCGAGTCTATGTTTTATGGTATAAGGTGCCTATGTAAATCAACAAGTCAAGAATGACAAGCGTCTTCCTCCAGAATCGCGAGGGGGGGACGGGTGAAAGAAAGATTTGCTTAATTCCTAGTTTTCTGTGAGGCCGTGGTTGAGCATTTGTGCCGTAGACTTTGACTCTGCCATGTGTCCGTCTTGAGTTGCAGTCCATGGACGGCGGTTGGCACTTACCATCAGGTCACCTGTCTGCTCGTTTGCCAGCCCCCCCCCCCCCCCCCCCCCCCCCCATACCTTAAAACTCTGTCGTGCCCTTTACATAATTGAGTTAACCGTCGTTTCATCAACAGCCTTTAATAGTCCGCTTCTGGAAATACTACTGGGTTTGTTTCAAGTTTTCCTTCTTTTTGCAGTGCTGTTTTATTGCAAAGCTTGCCCATAGTCGGCTCTTACGACACCCACGGGATGAATAGGGGTGGTGACACTCTGTGTTCTTAATTCGTCACCACACGGACCAACGGACCACGAACGGACCGTCGTTTCAATCGAGTTTATTTTCCCTGCTCCTCTCCTATATTCTCAACCGTGATGTTATAATATTACTACGTTCTTAGATATTGTTTCCTGTTCAAGTCATGTAAATTTATTCGTTGATTGACACCTTCTATTATAAGTCTAGTATGAGTTTGTATTAAATATATTTAATAGTGTTATTTCCTTTTGTTTACAGGTAAGAACAAACGCGTGACTATATCAATTCAAATGGCGATAAAAGTGGTAAGATCTACTTATTTGTACACTCGAGAGCATTAATCCGAGTCACATTAAGATATCTGAAATTCTTTGTGACTAGGAGTGCTTGCGGAGAGAATTTTTTATTTGTTTAACATTATAGTCTTAAAAATGTAAAAGGAAAAAAATACTAATCTTAAAACCCATATTTTTACAACCAAAAGTTGTAAAAATATTGTGCATATAGCACATAATTTTTACAACTTTTTACATTTTTTTTGTGGAAAATAATTGGTATAATTGACACACATCTTGGATTTGAATTTTCTCATAGGGTGTCAAGCTCTTTCATTTGATACCCGTATTGAGAGAGTTGTGAAAAAATATGCAATCCGCAATTTTGTGGTCTTGGACCTGTTTTCATCAAACATAGCTAAGAAAACTCCCGACTAATTCACCTTTCAAAAAAAATCAAAATCGGTTCATCCGTTCGGGAGCTACGATGCCACAGACAGACACACGGACACGCCAAACTTATAGCACCCTGTCGTTTTTGCGTCGGGGATTAAAAAACATAAAACATACTACAATGTCCCCACTTCATGACAAATTCTCATAAACTGTATTTTTTTTTCTTAATTTTTTCTGTTAAGGTTGGATTTTTTACTTCAAATTGACTGCACGGATGGCGTAGTGGTTTAAGCGGTCGCCACGCCGCTTTCTATTGCGCCGAGTGTTGTGGGTTCAAACCCCACATGGGATAACACTTTGTGTGATCCATAAATTGTTGTTCTGGGTCTGGGTGTACTTTGTGTCCGTTTCATGTATGTTTGTAAAGTCCCCCGCGACACAGGATTTATTCCTAGTGCGGGAGTTGACTTTTATCAAAAATAAAAAAAATGATTGCAAACTAACGGAAAGTTCATAAATACCAGCGTTTACAAACATAACTAATATACTGATATGAGTGACTGATATAGTTTGACGACCGGATGGCATAGTGGTTTGTGTAACGGACTGCTATTCCAAAGGTCGCGGGTTCGATTCCCGCTGAAGTCAAACATTTGTGTGCATGAACATTTAATGTTTGATTTGTCTGGGTGTTTCTATGTATAATGTGTATGTATTTACAAAAAAAAAAAAAAATGTATTTATATCAGTTGTCTGGTAGCCATAGTACAAGCTCTGCTTAGTTTGGGACTAGATGGCGTTGTGTGAATGTAGTAAAAAACAACACAACAACAAAAACAAAAATATTAGTTTTAAAGTCTATTATACTAAAATTATAAAGGCGAAGAATTTGTTTGGTTGAACGCCCTAAACTCGAGGCCTACTGGTTCGAATTAAAAATTAATCTATATATATATAAGAGATTTCCACGTACATAGTCACTCATCACGATATCTCTGGAACCTTTAGAACTAAAGACTTGAAATTTGGTAGGAATATTCTTTTCACCGAGTAGAGGTCAGCTAAGAACGGATTTTAAGAAATTAAAAAAAATATATTTAAATAATGTAAATAGCAAAACAACGTTTGCAGGGTCAGCTAGTTTTAGGATACGAGCCGAGTATCAATGAATAATATATAATCAACTTAAATATAAACTCCTAAAAAGGCCGTACACTAACTAAAATTATATCATCCAAGTAAACAATAATATTCATTAAAAATGTTCATAACATGAAAACTACTGGGCCTAACTATGTTAAATTTTTATGGCACCAAATGGCAACTATTCCGCATCAAACTAAAGAAGAATCACGTAAATCGGATCATAAATCTCAGAGTAATCGGTGTACATACATAAAAAAAAATACCAATCGAATTGAAAACCTCCTCCTTTTTGAAGTCGGTTAAAAATATTGAAAATTTATTCTTATTGAGATACAGACTAAGTTGAGCGGGTCAATTGGTCAAAACGACGGGCCTGTTGGTCTAGTGGTCAGTGACCCTGACTACTAAACCGGAGGTCGTGGGTTCGATTCCTACCCGGGACAAATATTGTGTGATGAGCCCAGTCATTTGTTTATTGTCTGGGTATAATTTATCTATAATATGTATGTATTTAAAAATATATAAGTATGTTTATCAGCAGTCTGGTTACCATAGCACAGGCTCTGCCTAGTTTGGGATCAGACGGCCGTGTGTGAGATGTGTGATTTATATTATTATTAATTATTATTGTATTATGAAGTACAAAGTGTCCAAGGGCCTGCATCGAACCCGGAATTCACAATCAATGACTGGTCATTAAATATGTCCTTCGTATGTGTGACCACTAAGGTTAATAGCGTTTGGTTTTTATAGCCTTTTAATATCCCTCATTGTTCGATAGATAATAATAAAACCATGCATGTTGCAAACAATAAGAATGTATATAATGTTACAGTCAGAACTCTAAACCGAGCAAAAGTAATTTTACCCGACTGCCAACGAAACGTTATGTTTTTCGCGCGTTTCTTTGTAAATTTCTGTATTATCTCGTATCTTCCTAATGGCTGGATGGATTTCGATGGTAAAAGTATTGCCACGCGCACCTCACGAGTGCGTTGGCCTTTTAGTCCCTCCACCCGATTCTGGGGGTTGGGTTCCAGTAACCTCAATCACTCGATGAAAAGCAATGAAAGAACTGCCTAACACACGTTTTCCGTGAGTCCGCCAAATCCAAATGTACCGAAGCATGTCTATCCCACGACGCATGGCTCTCCACGACTAGATTAAATTTAAATAATAGAAGTTACTATAAACACTCACCGTTTTCATCATAAGCCATGAAGCAAACTCGAGACAGGTTCAATGTGCTGGTGTTCAGGTCAGTCCAGACGGCCAGCGCTCTGTTCAGCGCCGTTGCCCTTAGTGGCACCAAAATGCCCACAGGAGAACGGATCCAGGTGTCGTCCAGCCAGCCACGGACGATGGACCTGGTCGATTGTGGTGGACCCTGTGTGTAGCTTCTTTCTGGATCTGTAAGGAGAAATATCTATATAGGAAAACGACCTGCCAAATTGATCATTATCAATTTTGAAACGAAGTTCCTTATCGCGCGTTGTGAAAGGGGGCTAGACGGAAAAAAATCTCACGGAAAGTTGTAACGACACTTTTTATTTTCAATTGTCACTTGTCAGTCATTCAGCGCCATCTATCGAATAGATAGGAAATCATTACTTTTCATCTCAGTAAAATTAAATATTGTATTCGACATCATTTCTCAAGGAGATTTTACCAATGTATAAATTGTTTTAATTAGAAACCAACTGAAAAATATGTAGGTAATAGCCGCTTTCATAGATGGCGTTGTAATTAAAATCGTGTCGAATCAGTTTTACTCGATCGTCACATCTTCGTTCCTATCGGGTGTTCCACGACACCACACGGCTTTTTTCCTATAGATTTCTTTTCCCTGATGTTATATAGTAAGGCATCCGAAAAGGAACTGTTCCGTCTTGCAAGAACACTTGGAACCAGTACGTAGAGCCGACAATGATCTTTGGACTTTTTAAGCTCTTAGATAAGAATAAAAAGAGAAAGAAAAAGAGAAAATATACTTGAGAAAATGGGTAGGGCTGATAGTTATCCTAGTAGAAATACTTGAACTAGAAGAATTTGAGCTTCATACCTAAATGAGGCCGAGTTCTCTGCACTTTTTGGTGTAACTTCTTCCTGTTTACCAGCGGCGGTTCTTCCGAAATCCTTCGTATATGGAACATCCCTTGTAATGAACCACCACATGGTTTTAGTCAGTTATATTCTGACATTTTGCCATGGGCTTTATTAAGTTGATATGATCACCTGCGGGTTTAAGACTAAAGGGGAATAAGACTAACCATTATCTGATTTCGCAATCCTTGGTCCAGATGTTTCCATATCTTTGGGATTCTGCAATACTGACTCGTCTTCTAAGGCTTTGGTTGTAGTCTGCACTGGTATGGTTTCTGTCTGAAATAAACATTTTTATAAATTGAATCCAGTCGGTTTAATATAATTTGTATTTTGACCTTTTTTGACGCCGGTGCCTCAAAACGATAATCTTCAACCAGTGCATCCTGCCTTGTTATGGCTAGTGACTAGTCATAACATGTAGACTTAAGTTGAAGTCGTGCAGTGGGAAATGGAGCAAGCTGTGCGCGGGGTTTCTTCGAAGAATAAAAAACTATATTTAGCAGTGGACTGCTAAAGGCTGATGTCTCTTGTCTATTGGATGTCTTAATAACACATCTGTTCCCGGATCCCCCCCTCCTATTTCAGGCACAGAGTGGCACACCATGTAGTTTTAGTCGGTTCGATTCCCACACGCTGCCCCCCATCGTAAACCCCGGTGTAGTAACGGCCCGAGGGGTTTTCAACACGTAAGAAAAGAAGATCTCTTGTCCAAGTTGATTTGCATTCCCTGCATTTTTAAATAGTAATTACCCTTAGCTTTGTCTGCGTATATTTTCACTGCAGAGTTCCTAGACTTGCCAACTAATATTATAAAGCTTATAGCTTCGTTTAAGCAAGAGACAAAAATATTTAAAATAAAATAAAGACACAGGACTTGGAATGAAAAAACCCAAAATTATCCCAAAAATACAATAATTTAGCGGTGGTTACGTAATATTATTGCAGATTACCCAAAACAATACCAGATACTGAGGTCTATGGTCAATATTAGATGTATAAAAATCAAGGTCCTAAGTCAACACGGTAAAAAGATATGGGCAAATTTAGATTTTCGCGAAAACTTGTAAGTACCAAAATTTATCTTAATTTTCAACTTTTTTATTTTTTAGAATTATTCCTTTATTTGTGCTGTAAGACGTTTCTTTTAACCAAAATTGACAATTCTAGGTCAACCGGAAGTAGCCTATAGGTTTATGGTCGAAAACCTATATGGTAGTTCTCGTTGACCTAGAATCACGAAATTTGGCAAAAAGAAACGTCTTACAGCACAAATAAAGGAATAATTCTAAAAAATAAAAAAAGTTGAAAATTAAGATAAATTTTGGTACTTACAAATTTTGGCGAAAATCTACGTAAAATCTGGATAGGTACGGAACCCTCGGCGCACGAGTACGACTCGTACCTGACCGGTTTTTTACAACGAACAATCGTTGATTTATAAAAAAAAGGTTATTTAAGTCCCACTGTATTTCCACAAAATGGTTATTGTGGAGAGAAGTTGTGTAAATTTTCACGAGGTAATGTCTAAAAATATTTACGATAAATACAAACAACTAATTAATAAAAGAATAAACAAAAGACCCGACTGTAACAATCATCATCATCATCATCAGCCTATCGCAGTCCACTGCTGGACATAGGCCTCTCCCATTGCACGCCACTTAGATCGATTTTGGGCTTCTCGCATCCAGCTCCTGCCAGCCATCTTGCGCAAATCGTCACTCCACCTGGCCTGTGGGCGTCCTACACTACGTTTGCCGAGACGCGGTCTCCACTCAAGAACTCGTTTTCCCCAACGGTTATCGGTTTTTGGGCCATTTCGATGCCACCCCCTTTTTAAAAAAACCCCCTTTTTTTTTGTTTAAATTTTAAAAAAAATTTTTACCCCCCTTTTTCCCCCCCTTTTAACCGGCCCGGAAATTTCCCCTTTTTTTAAAATTTTTTGGGGGGGTTTTCCCCCCTTTCCCCCCCTTTTTGGGGAAAAAATTTTTTTTTAAAAAAAGGGGAAAAAAAAAAAAATTTTTTAAAAAAAAAAAAAAAAAAATTTGGGGTTTCCCTTTTTGGGAAACCGAAAAAAAAATTTTTGGGCCCCCTTTTTCCCCTTTTTTTTTCCCTTTTTAAAAAAACCCCCGGGGGGGGGGGTTTTTGGTTTTTTTTTTTTTTCCCCCCTTTTTTTTTAAAAATTTGGTTTTTTTTTTTTTTTCCAAAAAGTTTTTAAGGTCCCGGGGGGTATTTTAAAAACCCTTTTTTTCCCCTTTTTCCAAGAAACGAAAAAAAAAACCCCCCCCCCCCTTAAAAAAAAAAGGGAAAAATTTTTTTCCCCCCTTTTTTTTTTAACCCCCCTTAAACGGTTTTTCCCCCCCCCCCAAACCCCCAAAAAAAATTTTAAAAAAAAAAAAAAAAAAAAGGGGGGGGGGCCCCCAAAAAAGGAAAAAAGGGGAAAATTTTGGAAAAGGAAAAAAAAAATAAAAAAAAATTTAAAAAAAAAAAACCCAAAAACCAAAAAAAAAAAACCCCAAAAAAGGAAAAGGGGGGGGTTAAAAAGGGGGGAAAAAGGGGGGGGGGGTTTAAAAAAAAAAAACCCCCGGGGGGGGAAAAAAAACCCCGGCCCCCCCAAACCGGGAAAAAAAGGGGGGGGGCCAAAAGGGGGGGCCCAAAAGGGGCCCCCCCAAAGGGGGACCGGGGGCCCCCTTTTTAAAAAAAAAAAAACCCCCCCCCCCCGGGGGGGGGAAAAAAAAAAAACCCAGGGGCCGGGGGGGAAAAAAAAGGGGGGGGGAAAGGGGGAAAAAAAAGGGGAAAAGGGGGGGGGAAAGGGGAAAGGGGGCCCCCCCCCAAAAAAAAACCAAAAAAACCCCCCAAAAAGGGGTTTTTAAAAATTGGAATTTTCCCCGGAAAAAAGAACCCAAAAAGGCCCCAAAAAAAAAAAAATTTAAATAAAAAAAAAAAAAAAAAAAAAGGGGGGAAAAAAAAAAAAGGGGGGGAAAAAACCCCCAAAAGGGGGGGGCAAAAAAAAGGGGGGGGTTTTTTTTTAAAAAAAAAGGGGGGGGGGGTTTTAAAAAAAGGGGGGGGAAAAAAAGGGCCCCGGCCACGGGGGAAAAGGGAAAAAAAGGGGGAAAATTTTTTGGGGGGACCGGGGGGGGGAGAAAAACAAAAAAAAAACCCAAAAAAGGGGGCCCGGGGAAAAAAAAAAGGGGGGAAAAAAAAAAAAAAAATTGGGGGGGGGAAAAAAGGGGCCGGGGGCGGGGGGGGGAAAAAAGGGGCCCCGGGCCCCCAAACCCCCCAAAAAAAAGGGGGGGGGGGGGTTGGGGGGGGAAAAAAAAGGGGGGGAAAAGGGGAAAGGGCCGGGGGGGAAAAGGCGGGCACCGGGGAAAAAAAAAAAAAACCCCCAAAAAAGGAAACGGAAAAAAAAGGGGGGGGAAAAAAAAAAAGGGGGGGGGGCCCCCTTTTTTTTTTTTTTTTTTAAAAAAATTTTATTTCCCCTTCCCTTTTTTGGGGGGGGGTTTTTTTTTTTTCCCCCAAACCCCTTTTCCCGGGGGCCGGGGGAAGGAAAACCCCCCAAAAAAAAAATTTTTTTGGGGGGGGCCCCTTTTAAAACCCCCAAACTTTTTTTTTTAATTTTTTTTTTCCCCCCCAAATTTTTGACCCCCCTTTTTGGGAAAAATTTTTCCAGGGGGGGGTTTCCCCCCGGGGGGTTTTGGGGGTTTGCCGGGGGCCCGGGGGGGAAAATTTTTTTTCCCTTTTTTTCCCCCCCGGTTTTCCCCTTTTTTCCCCCAACCCAAAAAATTTTTCCCCCCTTTTTGGGAAAAAAAATTTTTTTGGGTTTTGTTTTTTTTTTCCCCAGGGGGGGGTTTCCCTTTTTAAAAAATTTTCAGATTTTGGCCTGGAGCCGAGTTGGTCGGAGCCTGGATTTCATCAAACAGACACGTTCCGCCTTAAAGTTGATATTCAGAGAGCCCCGGACAAGTCGGTGATCACTACCGGTATTAAACCTATTGATCACTGAGACGTCTCTGAATATGTGCTTTCTATCCGTCATGATGAAATCGATCTCATTTCTAGTCATAGCGTCGGGGCTTTGCCACGTCCACTTCCTTTGGGGCTGTTTCTTGAAGAAAGAATTCATCAAAAACAGCCCCTCCCGTTCGAGGAAGTTGACCAGCATTTGCCCCCTATGATTCCTGCTTCCAAATCCATGGGATCCTACTACCGATTCGCTGCAATTCTGTACTCCCACTTTAGCGTTGAAGTCACCCATAACAACGTTGTAGTGGGTCTTAGTTGTGAAGTGGAGGGCCCTCGATATGTCATCGTACATATCCTCCACCTCGTCGTCCGAATGTGCCGAGGTCGGTGCGTACACTTGCACAACCTTGAGGCTATACCTCTCGGTGAGCTTGATAATGAGGTACGCTACCCTGTTCGACACACTGGAAATTTCCACAACGTTGTCAGATAGGGACTTATTCACCAGAAACCCAACCCCACCTTGGGATTGTTGGTCTCCCTCGCGGAAGTACATTAGGTGGCCTGACTCGAGGGTTATGGTGTCCTCCCCCTCTCTTCGGACTTCACATAGCCCTAGGATATGCCACCTAATCTTCCCAAGTTCCACCTCAAGTTGCGCCAGATGCGAGTCTAGCCGTAGCGTGCGTCCGTTGTACGTAGCCAGGGTCAGTCGGTTGTGGTGGCCTCCCGTAGCCCGGAGATTCTTCGCACCCCCTGCCCCGCCTTTACCGTGGTCGCCACCATGACCAGGAATAGCGGGGCCGCCGGGAACTGGGGGCCGTGGCCTTTGTTGCGTCTGCATGAGAGGGGTTTGCCCATAATCGCCACGCTGGGCAGGCGGGTTGGCGATCGCAGGGCGTAGCTTGTCGCACCGGTAACGCTGCTGCCCGTCACCGGCCTGTTATATTTAGCTACGCCTATTGGGATGGATATACCGCCATCGGTCGGTCGCCAGAGCCTCGTTCGTCGTTCAGCAGGATGCACCGCGGGCAGGTGAGGTTGGCTTGGGGCGAAAGATGGTGGTTCGCCCCTCACACCCTCTGTAACAAATGTATTCTTAATACGTACAAACCGGTGATTTTAAGATGGAGATGGCGCTGCCGTCTCTTAAACACTGTTTATGTTGGGATGTATAAATAATTTATTTAAAATTTCATGAAGATTTTGTGTATTTTAATTGTTTAAATAGTTAAATAACTTATACACATGCTATGAAGAAGTATTATATCTAAAACTGTGTACTATTATTATCAGAAACGTTAGTGTAACTGACTAACTGTTTTAAAGTTGGTTTTAAAGTTATAAAACCAAAAGCCATTGTGAACTGACTACTGATGGAGCATGAACATTTAATGAAATAGGTATTCAGTGCTTTGAATTGAACTTTACAAATATTGACAAACTTTTATCAAAAATTGACAAAATTAACAATAAATTTGTGATGTGTGTGATGAGTTTTTGACATACAAACTAGCACTGGCAATGACACCTCAAACACCAAAATATATCAAACCGTTTAAGCTAAAAAGCTTGCCAAAGGTATATATACTCAAATAACAAAGCCTACTTCTTACACAGTCAATGTATCCCACAAAATATATAAATATAGGAAGTAAATTCTGAAACACTCACTGTACTAAGCGGGATGTTATGTCTTAGATGAGAGTTAGACAGAATGTATATGAATGTGTCTGTAAATTTTTAACATAATAGCTCCTATACAATATTAACAATGATTGAGACGCTTGGAATTTACTATGTGCGTAGTTTCCGGTGAAAGGCGTGATCATATATGTACATAGCGTATAATTAGTATCTGACTAACGGCCAAAAGATTGCCGACTGTATCGACCAGTAATGTGAGTAATTAACCAAGGGATGTTCAAAGGAGCATTTAAAAGATTTTGTCAGTTGTGTCTTTGGTCTACGAGCGGTAGAGGTAAATAAGGCTTCGTTATATTAGATAGTAGTATACTAAGTTTAAAGTGGCCTTTTATGAGCGTTTGCAACACTAAGATTGACAATTGACTACAGAAAGACTGAAATAACAGAAAGCTTATGTAAAAAGAACGGCGTCATCGCTGAAAGATTTTTTTACAGGTGACATTTAACTAGACAAAGATATCTTTTTGATAACCCATGTTGCGCACGTATATATTTCAGAACTCCTCAAACTAAAAGTTTACAAATATAATAATCGAGTTGCAAAACCACAAATATACTCAACCCATTGCGATATATAGAAAAGGCAAACTGAACACATTGAATATACTTTACTGAAATTCTGTTCGCCAAGTGAGAACGCTCCCTTAGCTTTGATCTATGTGACACTGACAATATACGCCATTACTTCAAAGTATAAACTCACCATTGCTAGTATGTTATTGGTTAGATTTGATTGTTCATCAACATCATTGTTCAAGCTAGACGGTGTAATTTCAACAGCATCCGTCATATTCTCTACACTTTCTTCTTTGTCTATTTTATGATAACTCTCATCTGTTAATAAACCTTCATCTCTACTTTGAATGGCTCTTGCTTCAAGCTCTTTTTTCACCAAATCATCTATTCTGTTCTTAATATCTTCATCCATTGGTCTGTTATGTTCAAATCTGTTACTTTTTACTTCATCATCTTGCGGTAGCTGAGTTGTAGTTCTAAACTCATCGTATTCTTCGGAATGTAATGTTGTATCTTCTATATTTTCTTCACTGTCTTCTAAATTCTTAATTTCATCTGATATTTCTTCACCATAACTTGATATGAGGAGACTCGTTATGAGCAGAAGCAGGAATGTTTTTGCAGTCATTTTGATTTTACTTCTAGTACATTTTCTTGTGAAGGACAGGTTGTAAATCTGTAAAGAAAAAAAAAAGAGTTAATGTGACGTGAAAAGAGAAAATGCATTGTGATAACTGATCCTGGAGGAGCATTTTAAAGGCAACCCTTTAAAATCGACTCAAATAAGAGGTGTTTAATTCGTCTGTTCGTCATTATTTATTTACATTTCCCTAAAGAAAAATACCATTTATAAGGGTGAAAATTAGAAGAAAATTAGAAATATTAGCAGACATAAACATTTAGTCGCCACGGCAGTCGCCTACACTACCACTGCACCATCGAGACAGTCATAATTTATAGACAAAACTTTTGAACAATATATGCATATTGTTCAAAAGTTTTGTCTTTCTATACTTTCTAGAGATCACACTTTTTTTTAGGTACTCCCCAGAATTATAAATATATATAACACCGGTTTTCTGTGAGACCGTGGTATCATTATGGTCGAGCCGGCTCTTTAGAAAACCGGTGCTGAAGCAATTTCATGTCCTTTCCGAGTGAGATGGTACCGCAGGAACTAATTCACCACTCAGAAGCCGTTGTCTCTTGTGTTGCTGTGCTGCTAAAGGTAGTCGCTTAACATCAGGTGTCCCGTCTGCTCGCTTGTCCGATAAACAAAACATCATAACATCATATAAACAAAAGTAAAGCCGTGTAATCTTTACAAATAAGTTATGATAAATTAAATGCTTATCAATTCATATCACGTCTGAGGAAGCGTCTGAAGTTTTCCTTAAGTTTGTCGGCAAGAGACCATTTAAAGCACGTTTTATTCCTGTAAATTATACGGCAGAACACCAAACATATAATAATTGCGGTGCTTGCAGCACGGCTAATGCAAATTTCTCATAAAATTTTTGGCTACCCACAGTCATTTCGTAATATTCGGTAATCGTGGCCCTTAAAAGCGCGTTAGTCAAGGATAAGGATAAGGTGGCAAACGAGCAGATGGGTCACCTGATAGTAAGCAACTACAGCCGCCCATGGACACCTGCAACTCAAAAGTCACAAGTGCGTTGCCGCCCTTGGAGTTCCTCCCGCTCGAGTTAGCGGGAGGGGGGATTTAGGCTCCGGTAACCTCACTCACTCAGTGAAAGGCAACGAAAAAATTTCTCAACAAGCATGGCTCTCCCACGGTAATAATTCATCACTTTTAGTCCAGTGTAGCTAGAACTGTCACTGAATAGACTTTTGTACCATGACAGGTTAAAATGTATACTGGAACCCTATAGCTTGATGTAGCTGTTTTTATATAATTTTTAACTCTATAGCACATACTGTTTAAAAATGTTATCTTGGCGTACTTTTTCTACATATAAAAATAAAGTATTAGCCACATTTGCTTAAAAGGGCAATTTTTATTCACGTATAAGGGTTTTTTACTTTTCCCTTGTGGGAATCGAACTCACGTCAAAAGGCGTCTTAGTGACAAGGTGCCTATTTTAATCGTGCCGTCTACCGCGCCGTTTTGTAGCCGGGTCTTTCCCACTAGTTACGATTCTGCAATCAACATTCAGGACAGGCTCAAACCTTGTGGTTTACTAGAAAAAAAAAGTTATGATTCAGAACCAGAATACAATACCCTCTAAAGAGCTTACATTATATACGAGTAATAATAATAATTTATGTTACTGGCAATAAACAAAGGAGGTAGTTTACAACTCAGATAAAGAAAGAAAACATGATGGGTCTTTGTTTTATATGCTTCTGTCGGTTTGAACGTGGAAAGCTCAACTTTGACATAAGTTTAATGTTCGACCAGACAAAATAAGAAAAATAAAATCACGGGGGTTTCTGTCATAATCTTTGTTTCATCGTGAACTATTTCACTGTCAAATATTCCACTAAAATTGCGTAGATCAACTATGTTATATAAAAATGTAAGTGTGAAAATAAGAGGTGATTAATACAAAGTATATTATTCATTATTTTGAACAACGATAGGCTTTATAGTTTTTGTAGTGGTTTACAACTATTAGTAATAGTAACTTTACACATTTCACACACGTCTGATCCCATACCAGGCAGAATCTGTAATATGGTAACCGGACTGCTGATAAACATACTTATATTTTGCTAAATACATACATATTAAGTATAGATACACCCAGATACAGAACAAATAATCGTGCTCATCACATAATTATTTGTTCTGGATGGCAATCGAACCTACGACCGGCTTGGCAGTCAGCGTCATTAATCATTAAACATATAGGCTCGTCCTTGTATGATGATAGTGATTAAATGTTCAGTAAAGGATCTGTTAGAGGGCTCGGACTTCTCGTTTACTTGAGTTACGTGTATGCAAATCTCATCATATAAGCAATATCTGTTTTTCTCTGTCAATATACTCTAATTTTTTATTATTTATTTTCCAAAGTCTCCTGTTCAGTGCAATAGATTCGCCAAATATTAATAAAACAAGGACCGTGCTTTCCTCACTTATGAAACAGGCGTGAGTACATGCATAGAGGCATGAAATATAGAATACATACATCTATACTAAGTATGTACGTACAAAGCTCGGTACCACCACGGTACCTTGTGGAACTCTTTCCTTTTTTTTGTTTTTGTACTACAAATGCTATACCTATTATTATAAACATTTAAAAGCTCTGATAAGGACGTTTCATAAAGCGTTCAGTATTCTATCTTGCTTCTTCATATAAGTAAAATCATACTTGAAGTAGATACACACATGTTGAAATGTTATTGTGAAGTCGCTAACTAAATATTTCGTAGTGTGTAAAGCTCTCGACTGTAATGATATGCCCTCGGGGCGATGACTCAGGACTCATTATGTCAGTATGTTGGAACCTTGTTTTTTGGATATCCAAATATTTAGGGGTCCATACGCGAGATATAAAAACGGAAGGTTTTTCAATAAGTGGCGTGGTATCGGCATTAGTAATCTTTTGCACTTCATAATTTTATATGGAAATGCAAGTCAAATTATAAGTTCAAATGTTCCAAAAATTTGGACCAATTGACCTTGTTCCATCAATGACATTAACACGTTTCAAAGTCATGTGTCAATGGTTTTATGTTTTATCATTACCACCATCTTTTTCTTTATTTATTAGATTTCTTGTGTCGTGATTTCACTAACTGGTATTATATATATTAGTTCTTATTAAAGACCTCGCTTCTCGTCCTTGCTAATACATGATATAACAATTTGACTTTTAAGCTTACTGCTCCGCTTCTTTATATATTTATGATATGTTCATAATGTTGCTCAGTAAATGGTCTAATGTTAAAAAAAGTTTAAACCGGTTTTCAGTTCTTCAGATTATCATTTTAATGATTGTTAAGTGTGCCAAAACGCAACTCGAGACGACGCGAGTGTTAGAGAGCCTCTTGATAACCTTGCTTCGCCTCCCAGGAAGGTCCAGCGTCCGTTTCTGACGTTTCAGCCTTAAAGCCTGTTAGTTATATACGTCATCATCATCATCATCATCATCATCAACAGCCTTTAATAGTCCACTGCTGGATATATGCCTCTCCTTAGAAATGAGGTTTTGGTCTTCTATACCACGCTGGACAGACGGGTTTGGTATAGGGTTTGTTTCAAGTTTTCCTTCTCTTTGCAGTGGTGTTGTCCTGCGTAGTTTGCTCCCCTAGTCGGCTCTTACGAGACCCACAGAATGAATAGGGGTGGTGACATTCTGTATTGTTAATCCATTACCACACGGACAGTAATATACGTAGTCACGCCTACTGTTTCTCTAGCGGCTATAGGTTTGTTCCTATAAAAGACATGCGATGTTATGTCGCCTGCAACTTGTCTGAATTTCAGGCAATTTTTCAAATTAGTCTTTCGCAATTGTGAACCAGTAATATTGGTATTGGTTGTGGGCTCCAATGTCCGCATTTAGACTCGAGAGTGATCCAGTAATATTATTATTTTAATTATTCATTTTAAGGCTATCGATCACGAGTTATTCAATGGCTGGCATATACTCGTAAATCTAGTACCACACATATTTGTCACAGTTTATTTATTTAAACGTTGATATAAAATTTCAATCTATGCATCAATCATTGTTTTTATTATACGTATATTTTAAAATTAAATTAAAATGTGATATTTTAAAATTAAATTTGATCCGTGATAGATCACAAATGGGCCAGTTCTACCGCAGTGATATGATTACAATACTAGATGTCCCGACGTGTTATTAGATATGATGTCGATAAAATTATACATATTATGTACAAATAAATAATTGCTTCTTCTATGTCCCCCTCACACTTCCAACTTCATCAATTCTTCCTTTTATGTACAGTCAGTTCTTCTCTGGAATGCACTACCAGTTGAAATCAGGATGACCACTAATACGTTCAAGAGAATAGTACAAGATCTTTTCCAAAATGAGTTGGCAGAAAGGTCACATCGCTATTAACCAACTGTGTATTTTGAAATGTATATTTTGTACGTGTAGACTTGGGACCTATATGTATATATGTAGTACTGTATATATTAGTTTATTTATGTATATTGTATCTAAGTTAGAGTTACATTAAATTGATAAATTAAATTTAAATCAATCAAATTTCTTGTTCTCTCTTGCACCTATCGCATAATTTTTTTTATGTGTTCGTGAACGGGAAAGTGACTATCGCCGCCCATAAACATCTGCAACTCAGAAGTCACAAACGCGTTGTCTGCCTTTTAGGAAGGAGTACGCTGTTTTCTTGAAGGTTTGAAGGTCGTATCGGGCCGAAAATACCGCAGACGATAACTTGTTGTACAGATTGGACTGTACGAGGCAAAAGTGTCTCAAAAGCGCACAGTAGTGGACCGCCAATTATCCAGGTGATGGGTATGAACATTTTGCAGTGTGGAACGATGGCAGAAATTTGCGGCCGGCATTAGTCCGAACAATTCCTCGGAGCACTCTCCATTCGTACTAACTAATATTCATTTAGAATCATAACAAAATTGTTACGGAACCCGCCCTTCCA